TTATAGAGATATTTCACTATAAAGTTACAAATTTCACCTTCTTTTCCGCCTGTCTTCTGGATTGCATTTTAAACAATTTACCCTTCTTTTTTTATCATTGGACAATTTATATACAGGGTGTTTCAGTTTTTTGTAGCAGGACTTTAACAGCTTGAAGAAGACATTTTTTAAGACGAAAATCTCATAGAAACATATATGCGTGGAAGCTTCGTTTCCGATTTACAGGGTGTCAAAGTTTCAGATTTTTTTAATGTTTTTTGAATTTTCTCCTACAATTTTCGGAATAATTGATTGAAATTTAGTACACCTGAGCGCTTCCCATTAGCCAACATAAGATAGGAAGAGATAGGTATCCGTAACCACTGCGGGTTGCCTGAACAATATGTTTGCCTCACTCGTCGTTCACAGAGGATCCCTTCCAGTTGTTCGCATTTAGTTCATTGATACTGATTCAGGCAAAATATCGAATATACAAAATATTATTCAGTGACAGAAGTGGCGCAAATGATGAAAACAAACCCAGTCATCGGTCATTCTCTTCTCTGCTTATCTCTTCGTCTCGAATCAAGGTTATTTTACTAACCTTGGTCGTCACCAATTCATATGATCAAAATATCTCTATATAAACCGCTATGACTATGTTGAAAACGCTAGAATTCCGACACGTTGCCAATCAGGTTGAAATGTCGCATATATCTACCCAAAAAAACTCTAGATTTAGCGACAAAACCGCTAAGAGTGCAACCCTGCCTAGAACAGACAGGAAGAAACGTTTGCGCATGTGCGCTAATTCATTCAGACATCAGACAGATGTCACACCCTCACACTTTAGTTCAAAAAAGTTTAAAGACACATAGGTAATTAACAATTTAGGAAATTGCAATAATCTACATCACATCTTGTGTATAATAGATATCACATTTTGGTAAAAGCGGTTCAGATAGATTCTAAGATGAGTAGCTAATGAATGTATCTTTTAATTTGAAGTACAGTACTTTGTTATTTATTCTGAATCAGATCTTATCCACGATTGTACAATATCTACCAATCGTGAAGGTTATTTTTCTCACAACTACTATTGTAAGTGATGAATATTGTAAACAAAACAACGTCAGTACTTTTCTCCTTACTCACAGCGTGCGTAAAGCGAGCGATCGCACGGATTTCATAGGTATGTTGATAGATGACTTTGTATTGTTGCTTAAGCGATTTGTCAATTTCAGTTAATGTCTGTAGCTAGGTAGGTTCTTATCTATACATCAATGAATCAAGTTGTCAATCAAAACCGAAAACAGGCGGTCAATATTTTTTTAAAACGATTACTTTCTATTATTTTTCAATTTTAGTTGAAAAATGTCAAGCGATGACGATGAGATTATTTCTACACCACCAGAAATCCTGGAGAAAGCAAAAATGGCAACAAATGAGTTGCTACCTGTGAAGTCTCCAGAAAGATACGAAATCGCTTGCAAAAAATCATTCAGGAATAATATGTCATTTTTGGAAAATATTCTGTTACTTTCAATTGAACAGTGACTATAAATAACCATTATAATAATACGGGAGTGAAGTTAGCCACATCCACAAATACACCTTCCTATCAAATTCGATCAGTAGATTCGTTTGCCGCCTTCAAAATCCATGTACAACGAGTATTAACGGAGATAATGATTTTTTTTGTTTTTCAACCCCCTTTCTACCCCCTTAGACGGCCTGACAAACTATGAGTTCAACACCTTCCTATCAAATTCGATCAGTAGATTCGTTTGCCGCCTTCAAAATCCATGTACAACGAGTATTAACTGAGATAATGAGTTATTTTCGTTTTCAACCCCTTTACTTCCCCTTTAGACGACTTGACAAACTATCGATTCACCACCTCCCTATCAAATTCGACTCAGGCTCTCACCCCTCTTCAGTCGTCCTATGAAATGCGTTCAAATTCCATCTGAAATCGGGTGAAATTGCTGAACACATTTTCGGCGATAAATTTTTCTCGGTGTATTTTGTGGATGTGGCTAACTTCACTCCCGACAAAATTCTTAGTGTCATGACATGTTTCGCTAACAAAGTAGTTTCGTCAGGTAAAATACTGGTGCAATGATATAAACTAACCTTGGCTTGCCTTAAACCGAGCCTTAAACTTATATATACAGGGTATGTCACGACGAGCTTACACTATCTCTATATCAAGAATCAGTCGAGAGAACTCCATGATAATATGCATGCTCATATTTTAGAATACACTCTCTTCATTTAAAATATTTTCAGCAATGCAGTTTTGCCGCTTCTATCAAAAGGTAGCAACAACTTTGTTATTTCAAATAGAATGCCCTGTATTTTATCGCATTTTTAGATTCGCCCTGAAGAGCTGATTTCATCAATACATCACACTTGGGGTCTATCAGAAATGATTACAGAGATCATAGATCTAATTACGAGATATAGGGTGTTCAACATCGAGATTTTTCATCTTTAGGATTTTTTTGTGTCGAAACTATTCATTATCGGTCAAAACGACTCACATGTCCCTATCACAACTTTTGATTTACTAATTTACTATTTACTGATATTTAATCGGAACAGATACAGGGTGATCAGAATTCTGGATCTTGAACCACCCTGTATCTGTTCCGATTAAATATCAGTAAATAGTGAATCGAAAGTTGAGATAGGGACATGTGAGCCGTTTTGACCGATAATGAATAGTTTCGACACAAACAAATCCTAAAGCTGAGAAATCTCGATTTTGAACTCCCTATATCTCTGTGATTTTTTTCAATAGACCCCAAGTGTGATATATCAATGGAATCAGCTCTTCAGGGAGAATCTAAAAATGCGATGAAATACAGGGTGTGCCATTTGAAATATCAATGTTGCTACTACTTTCTAGGAGAAGCGGCAACACTGCATTGCTGAAAATATCTTTGATGAAGAGAGCGTATTCTAAAATATAAGCCTGCATATTTTCATGGATTTCTCCCGACATACCCTGTATACTTTCCCAACCTGAAGGATTATAATTGCCTGTGGAAAGGTTCGATAAACCTTCATCTTCGGAAAATAGGCACAATATCTACATTAAAATACGGTGTAACGGATTAACTTGAAAGGGTTGATAGCAAATATATATGATTACCTACTAAGAAAACAAATTCAGCCGTGGTGAACTATTGAGGTCTAATTGATCATTAAGTGAAATGTTAGAATTTTTGAGTTTGTTGATTTCTAATGATTCAAAATGATTGAGTTCTATTCATTTATTTTCTACGTGTAGAATTTCGAAATTGCCATCAAAACTATGGTTTTCTTCTAATATATGGTGGGTGTATGTTGAATTTGTTTTCTTGTTAAAAAAATCTCATCTCATGTTCATGAATGCGCTGATTAAACGTACGACCTGTCTGACCGATATATACCTTAGGGCAAGATAGACAGTTGAGTTTGTATACCCCTGATTTTTCGAATTTAGAAGCTTTGTCTCTATTATTTTTGATGAACCTTCCCAACGTGTTATTTGTTCTATATGCTACTTTCAAGTCTTGTTTATGTAGAAATGAAGCTAATTTTTTAGTTGATGATCCGAAATAGGTTAAAGTTCTATAATTTTGATTATTATTTTTGATGGTGGGGTAAACTTCTTGAATAGCTTTATTATGGAGAGTTAAAAAATAATAGTCTATCAAATTAACGTTGTATCCGTTGTGGACTGCAATCTGTTTTATGATATTGAGTTCTTTATTGAAATTTACTTGAAAGAGGGACATTCACTAGCCTGTGTATCATACTATTATATGCTGCAATTTTATGTTGATGAGGGTGTGGGAAGGTTTATGGAAAATTGAAAAAAATCATGTTTATCATCAATTTTACTTATTGTCAAATCTAAGAAATTGATTGACTTTCCTGTTTCTATTTTCATTGTGTATTTTATGTTCGGATGAATAGTATTAATATATTGGTGAAAAGTGTCTAATTGTCTATTGGTTCCTTTAAAGAATACCATAACGTCATCTACGTATCTATAGCAATATAACGTCATCTACGTATCTATAGCAATACAAAAATTGTTTTATCAACGGATGTTTATGTATTATTCGCTGGGAAAGTAGGATATATTTATATATGTTAAGGCAAGCCAATGTTAGTTTATTTCATTGTACCAGTACTGTGTTTGCGAAACATGTCGTGTGACTGAGAATTTTGTGAAAATCTCATCGTTTGTGAAGTTTTTACATTTATTAAAATTTTATATGTTTATCGAATTATTTTTTGTTATTGATAAAGTAGTTAAGATATGTAGAACGGCTTCATTTCAGTTGAAATGTTTATCGAATTATTTTTTGTTATTGATAAAGTTGTTAAGATATGTAGAACGGCTTCATTTCAGTTCAAATTGAGGAAAGTGGTTCGTTATGCAATTTACCAATGAACAAATACAATAATAATTTGTAAATTGTACCTTTTTATGCAATTGGCTTAAGGTGACTGGAGACGTATTCGATATTTGTGATCTATATTATCCTGAAGGAAGTATGGTGTATTCGTAGAAAGTACAGTAAATTCCTCGAGTTGTAAAGCAATTAGGCACTTGTGGAGTAACACACTCTCGACTTCGTGCGTAATATGCGTTTTACAACTCTTGTTATGTTAATATATTGCAATTCTTTCTGCTGTTGACTTCACTAGAGATTATAGAATTTCGATTTGATCATTGATATCTTTTGAACCATGAAGGCTATTTTTGTTTTCATCTTCTTCAGCTATTTTCGAGCAATTACTGATGTGGATATATTCAATTCATCAAGATCGAATTGACTGTTTTCTGAATTATCTACTATTTCAACAGGTTCAATTCATTGAATACTCAGTACATGAAACTAGTTGGACATATCTGTATATATATAATCTGTATATTTGTTAAACATCAAACTTCTTAAGATTTATTATATCGGATGGTTTTTGAAATATTTACTATTAATATTAACAATATTTTTCAGGGAATCGGATCAGTCGAGAGTCAAATTGTCTGGAATTTTAAACTTGTCTAGTCAAGAAGTGCAGCAATTAGAAGAGAAAGCCAAGAAGTATGAAAATGAATTGTTGAAGTTCGAGGTAATTATCTTATCTCTCTTTCATCTATTTCAATATTTTTTGAAACTTTTCCAAATGATTTCAATATCTCAATATTGTTGAATATGCTGAATATTCATCATACAATTCATCTTACTTCACAGGGTTATTCATTATTCATTATTGCAATAAGGACTCTACACGACCCTCATCAGAAATTTCACGGGGTGATCCCAGGAAAGCAAAGAATTCATGGTCTATCATGCTTTTAGAACCATCTAGTGAAACTGCAGCAATAAACATCTGCACTTTATTGTTTTTTCTCAGTAAAAATAACGTAAATATATGGTTGAGTTATCCTTTAACTTACAGGAAAAGTAAAAACTGTCTGATACATTTTTTCACGAAGAATCAAGTGGCTTAATCAGATTTTCAGAATGAGCTGTCATTATTTAGATATAACAGAAAACCCAAAGTTGTGTTTTTTTATATTTGAAACATTGATGCTTTGCGCTTTTCAAAAATATTGTCACGAATAGTATCATTTCCACATTTATTAAACCAGGAACTTTCGATTAGTAGTTGAACATAAACACAAGCATGGCATTGACTTCAACAAACCTGGACTATCGACCTGATTTCCTTACTGTCACGTTTCCGAAAATATAAACAACTATTTAAAAAGACGTAAGGAAGCGGGTTCGACAGTTCGAGGCCAGTTCGAGTTCTAGTTCTGTTTTTCTTTTGAATACGATCACGGAAAGTCTTTTCTTGATGTTGAATCATCTTCGATAAAATAGCTTGTCGGTCCTAACCGAAAAATCAGGCGCTTAGTACAAGGACGCGTCGCGAATCTGCCAAAGAATAGTAGGCTCTCCTCTTTGAATCTGCCTTCAGAATGATAAATTCGTTTTCGTCGGTCGTCGGAAAGCTGTGACACTGATGCCCTTCCTCCAGGTCTCCGAAGATAACATATACAAGTATATGGTATGTTTTAAAATGTTATTCATATTTTTGATTTTGAGTAAATGTGTATATTTGTTGTTTTGGAAAGGATTTTACTTTTTTTGCCAAATTCCCAACTATTAACATTAATTGACAAGTTTCATTCTCTATTGACAAAAAGAACACAACGCAGGCAACCTCCGCCTATAGTTTGTGTCACAAACTGTAGGTGGGGGTTGCCTTAGTTGTGCTCTAGGTCTAGATCCATCAGATAATGAACTTCAAAAGTAAAAATAATGAATAATACTCAAAAAGGTTTTCAAACAAAACATAATACTATACACACGTTCATTATTTGAATATATAACAAATATAAGAAATTCAACTTACCCTATAAGTATACATTACGAAGCTATTATTTCTGGACCTTAGAGGAAGAGCATCTTCTGTTCTGTCCCGAACTATGATACATGATCGAATCAATGAATGATCTATGATCGAATCAAATTATCGAATTGACCGAAACGTGACAGTGAGGAAGTCAGGTGGATATTCCTGGTTCGTTGCAGTCAATGCCATGCCTGTGTTTATGTTCAACTACTAATCGAAAGTTCGTGGTATAATAAATGTGGAAAAAATAAACACAGACGTGACTGTTCAATGACTTCTAACCCTTTATGAATTTAAATGAAATTTAAGAAAATAACCCTATTCGTGACAATATACAAGGTGTAAAATAAGTACGTTGAAATATTAAAGTGACGTATTCCTGAGACAATTTTAAGAAAGAAGTCTAGATAAAATTATTGTGCGGATATGCTTCGTTTCGGAGATACAGGACGTTGAAATTGAACTTTTTGTTCGCTTTTTTTAAATAATTTGCAAATGATGAGTAATTAGCACGAAATTTGGTACCCAAGTGTTTTTGACGTGAGAAATCATAATCTCGTGTCAATTTTCATGTAATATCTAGTGGGCGCTGCGTACACTGTCATTATCTATTTTAGATTGCCCTAACATTTTTGACAGTAAACTTCCGGTACTTTTCGTGAAAAAATTGTATTACCGCACCTTTTCCAAGTAAAAAAAAGGTTCGTTTCTTCAGCAACGCTGGAGGCGACAAAGAATGATCACTGTTTGCAGAGAGATACACCCAGAAAAACTGCGGAGACTGAAAATAACGTGCCAAAGAGATATGAAGGAGATTTGATTGAGAAAACAAAAATCTGAACTTGTTAGGAATGGTTGCTGTTTAGTTTTTTTTTTTCTAATTTTTCATGTTTTTTTTTTCATAATACTATTTAGTTTTTTTTTTCTTTTCATTTCTTGATAGAAAATTTTAATTTCTAGTGATTATATTCGTTATTTATCTCACTCTGTAGACAGATGATCTAATCCTGACTACCATCATGCCTTGTATCTTTAAAATTCTTATATAAATTATTATATACGGTGATTTGAAAATTGCAATTATCCAAAAATTTTAACTTTGATGAAAAACACCCCTTATGAAATATTGTTCTGAAAATTGATGTAGATATAGACAGTGTCCCTCAGGGGCTCACGACTTGTGAGTACGGGAATGGCAATCCCGAGGTACCCTAGCCGGATACTCATTAATCTTCAACTTGTCTTTGATGGTATCCTCTTCACTCTTCAGTTTCCAATCTTTTTCTTCATCGGCCCCCCTTGGTCACTTCTCCTCTTTTCCTTCTCCCCTAAAGCCCAACCTCACCATAGTGCGGGGAGGACAAGCCGCGGCTGCTCGGCAGATTGAGCATTTTGGGAACATCTTTGCTATCATCACTCAGATGGGACAGTTTGTGGACATCTGAGTGCGAGGATGGGGCAATTTGTGAACATCTGCTTATGTGGCCGCGGATTGATAACGAGGCTCTGGCGATCCCCTCAGGGGCTCACAACTTGTGAGTACGGGAATGGTGAACCCGAGGTACCCTAGCCGGATATTCACCATACTTCAACTTGTCTTGGGGGATATCCTCTTCTCTCTTCCGTTTCCAATCTTTCTATCGGCCTTTCTTGGCCAACTTCTCTTTTCCTCTTCCCCTTCAAGCCCAACCTCACCATCAAGTGGTGTGGGGAAGGCAGGCCGCGGCCGCTTGGCGGATGAAGCATTTTGGGACCATCTTTGCTATCTTCTGCCAGATGGGACAATTTGTGGACATCTGTGGCAGGGATGGGGCGATTTGCTGATGTTTGTCTAGGTGGTCGAGGTCTGGTCAACGAGGCTCTGGCAACCTAATCCAAGCTGTGGGAACCCGTGGCGATGGATGGATGGCACCGAGGAATGGTGTCGCTAACGGGGCCTCTGGGAAACAGGGCGACATCCCAGAGTAAACAGCCTTAGCCCTGTGCAGGGGGCACCACAGGGCTGGACCAACCCCTTCCCCCGTCACTCGTAGGAGAAGGAAAACTTTTGGCCTTCTTCGTAGACGAGAACAGGGATCGGAAGAGCAATCTTCAGGAACCTGAACGAAAAGGGTCTTTCATATTGAAGTTTCCCTTAATAGGCACCATGAGTCGTATGTGGTAAAATTGATAACGGCATGTAGGTGAGATACAATGGGCCACTAGGCCTAAGTGTCGTCGAAGCCTACAACGGGGTGGAGTGTTTAGTGGGTATACCATGGAGGGGACTCCCACACTATCATATGGGGGATTGGACCCATATGATGTCTATAAAAGATTTCAACCACCTCGGCGAAAAAAAAAAAAAAAAAAAAAAAAAAAAAAAAAAAAAAAAAAAAAGACAGTGTGAGCCACTTCTAATGGAAACACCCCTGTATTTTACGTAATCGTTGGGTAAGGATCCTGAAATTTGCTGGAGTGAGAGATATACCAAAAAATGCACTCTATAATCAAGTAGGGTCATCTTCAGTGATATACACTGCTCGCTAACAGCCATGGAACCATCCCAATTTCCGGAAAATGATATTAGGGGTCAAAATAGGTCGAAAATCACTTCAGATTCGGAATCAGGATACCCAATTTACTGACTATTAATATTTTTCCTTGACACGACAGAAATTGGAGAGACATCAGGCGCAAATAGCTTTTAGATTGAAGGAGCAGGCAGTTTATCAGCGATATAAAAGGTGCATCCTTTTTTATCAAATATCGTATTCCGTGTAGGAGTTGATTTATTACGGAGCTGTAGCTCTTGAAACATAATATGTGTCGCACAATTTTTTTTACATTAACGTAGGAAATGTCCTCTTTAACTTTGTGTTGAACATCTTTTGTTTTGAAAGACACAGTTTTTGAGTTTTTATCAAAAACGCAAATGCTTATACATAAAATCCAAGATAGAGGTTCGAGCGCATGTACTTCGAGGTCGAAAACTTGGATTTATCATTAGGGCCCCAAGCCTCACAACATACTAAAAAATCGCTACTACCCCACCTTTCGCATTCAAACACCCCTATTCGATATACCCACGTACTGCGGACTACTAAGTTATTCATATTTTTGTTACAGAAAAAGTATCCATGGCTCAAGGATCCCCAATTCAATTTGCCGAATATATCCAAAGAAATAGAAATGCTACGGAATTTGAAGGAGACGAAGGAAAAATTAGCGAGGGACCTTAGCATATATCAAGAACTGAAACCTGACATCAAAGAAGCTGCCCAACAACTTGCCGATCTCAAAGAAGAACACAAACACTTTACAACAAAGATCCAAGATACTAATAAGTGTTAATGACCATATTGTGCATTTATATTTCCACAGGATAGAGTTTATTTGTTCAACTAATTTTTCTAATAGTATTTGATAAAGATTGATTTTTTTTTCATGTTTTGTTTGAGGTTTTTCTTCATTAGCCTGAAAAATCAAAGAAACTTGTGGATTCCTCAGCAAAAAAAATTCAAACACTAAATACTCACCTACAAAAAGCTAGGGTCCCTTGATGGAAATTGACGTTAAAATAATCTTAACAGGGTACGGACAGATCATAGCTGCATTCTTTTTTAATGATCTAGAGACTTTAGTTTTGTCTACTGGCATCCCTGACATTGCTGTCACGTCACGTCCATGGGTGCTACAGAAAATCATTCGAAATTTCAATAATAGGTATGTACAGGGTATATTTACTTGCTGAGAAAGATCATATGGCGAACGAGTTTTGTAATTATGATCCGATTCTATTCAAAATTGGAAGGTATCTGGGGTTTTCCGTGGTTGGAGATAATGATTGTTTCGTCAAACTTGGAAAATTCAAGATGACGGATCCAATATATAGTGAAAGAAATTTCTAATTATGATCTGATTCCATTTAAGATTGGTATCTGAGGGTTTTGGGGGGTCGAACTTTATGATTTTTTGTCAAAATAGGGAAATTCAAGATAGTGAATCCAATTTGGTGGACGAGTTTTGTGATGAAGATCCGATTCTATTCAAAATTGGTATCTGCAGGGAGTTCTTTTCGTCCTAGACGAAGTTTTATACATAGTAGCTCCATAAATTCTTCCCCGTGTTGGTTTTCGGAAAATATATTTAGCACACATGACATGAGTACAGTACTCAGATACCCACATCGAGGTTTCCACCATTTTTCGATCATAAGGTTCTGCTCATTCAGCTCATCTTGAAATTAGAATTCATTCAGTCAATTCAGTCAACCCTGGTATACAGTCTAAGAACATGCTCTTTTGGTGAAATATGTTCCCTACCTCGCAAAGATTATGCTGGAATAGTGAACTCTAAAATTAGAGGATTGTTCATCTATATCTTGGTATAGTTGGATCAGGAATTCCATATGGAAATTACGTATGATACGCCAGTGACCTCAATATAACCTAAAAAACAACGAATGTCGAAAATCTAGTGTTTAACCCCAGAATTGAATAAAGATGGAACTATATAACTGTTTCACAAACACTTTAGAGTGATAGGAGACGAGGATCTGTCCGTACCCTGTTAAGATGACTTTAACGTCTGCAATTTCCATCAAGGGACCCTACAGAAATCCATCTCTGCTCTGTGAATTATTTGAAAGTTGGTATATCTAGATGAAGTGCCTATCATGAATGAGTTTGTAACATCGGGAAATTGTTGATCACTGTAGTATAAAGATTGAGTAGATATTTACATTTCCAGTTTGGAAACACCTTGTTTTGTGTAAAGATGCGATTATACGTTACACAAAATTGTGTTCCCTAAACGTGTTACGTGCAATATTTTTACTAATTTTGTCGAGAAAAATGTTTCCCAAATTGATCATACTGATAAATTTTAATGAATTGTACAGAGACATTCATAGGTACACTATTTCGCCTGTCAGTTTGAAGTTTATTCCTCCATATGACAATGTCGCGTTAGACAACAGGATTTTGGATGACATACAGTATGGTGGAAATGTATAAAATAAATACATTATCTATAAGGCATATGAATTTGAAGACAGGTCGATTTTTATTTTCAAATTGACACCTCTTGATATACATACGGAGTTTGTAACGTCATTCGCGTAGTTGTGGTGACATCATCGATTATTTTTTCAAATGGAAACATCCCCTTTTCATTTTATTATTTAGAAGGTATATTCATTGTCTATCCAACCATATACTGATATTAGCAAAATAAAGTAATACAGGGTGAGAAAAAATTATTAATTATTTTATATTTACAACGGAAACAATTACAATAAATGAAAAATTCGACCTGTATACATCAGAAACAATATATATCGTCATTCACATTGTATCATTGCAGAAGGTCACCAATTCGAACATTTATTGTAACGGTTTCCGTTGTAAATATAAAATAATTAATAATTTCTTCTCACCCTGTATTACTTTATTTTGCTAATATCAGTTTATGGTTGGATAAACAATGAATATATCTTCCGAAAAATGAAATAAAAACGGGATGTTTCCATTTAAAAAAACAATCGATGACGTTACAAACTCCGTATGTATATCAAGAGGTGTCGATTTGAAAATAAAGATTGACCTGTCTCAGGATTTTTCTTCGAATTCATATATGTTAGAGATAATGAATTTATTCCATACATTTCCACCATACTGCTGTATGTTCATTATTACACCACCATCAGTTATGAAATAGTTTACATTACGCAACTGGCTACGTTGACTATAGCTACTCGTATTAGCATATCTTAAACATTAAACTATTGAAATCACTTATATCAGTGAGATGTCAGCGGATTGAAACGGATAAGCAGAGAATATTTCAAACTAATATATTTTGATGATATAATATTTCAACTATAATAGTTTGATATTCTGAGAGGAATAATTCATTACATAATTCCATTCGGATAATCTTGGATCATCTAGGAAAAAGTTGGTATAACCAATGAAATACTTTTTTACTATTAGTATTAGGAAAAAAGTCATTCCTCATAAAAAGTTATGTGAGGCCTAAAAAAACGCAAATATCAGATAGGTATCGAATATTTTCAGTCGTATACGAGGTATGTCCAAAAATATACATTTTGCTCAAAAGCCTAACGTACCTTATTTATTTTCGACAATATCGAAAATTATCATATAGAAAAAATGACTAGAATTAAAACAACGTTTTATTATTTCTTAAAATTATCCCTGATCGATTCATATGGAAAACTTTTCATAATTAATTTTACGGAATAAGAAATCAAGGAAAAAAGCATTTTTCATAAAAAGTTCGGCAAGGTCAAAATCATCAGATATCTTTTTTTTTCAGTCATATACAGGGTGTTTCGGATTTAAATGTACATACGATACCTGCAGATAGAAGACACTTTGATGGTTCCAAATCATTCCTCATTGATGTGTCTACCATCATTTATAACTGAGATACAGGACGTTATATCTTGATTTTGGCAAAATTTTCATCTGGTCATAATTTTTGAACCACTTTATATAGTTTTTTCATACTTGGTACAAATATAACACTCATATTACTCATCAAAACTGAATGACATTCGAGATCAGAATTCAGGTCCGTCTTGAGGAAAAACAGTAAAAATCTTTTATTTCAAAAATAATACTCTCTGTATGGCAAAATTTTATAGATCTGTTTTGGTATTTGAAAAGAGCGGGAAAAAATTAATAGAGTGACCCACTTTTTACGAGCGCGCATCCGATTTGACAGATGTTCTATTATCAATTTGGGAAAAATTCATCTCCATATTTTGAGGCATTTTAATTGCACTCGAAATCCAATTTTGGTACGAAAAAATGACAATCTTCAAACTTCAATATCATTTTAGGATCAAATCAGATGAACTATCGATAGATTTGTTTATTTGACAGAATAACTTGTCGATGATTTAGAAATTTTCGAGGACTCATTTTATTTTACAATATTTATTCATAAGCTGCGATAACAAAAGCTGTGCAAAAAATTTTCAAATTCTGACAGTTTCTAATCACGTGTGATATTATTGGTTATGTCATGAAGGTTATTAGGTTGAGGCATAATAATTATGAACACTTTGAAATGTAACAACACAATACAAGCACCAACAATTATCTCAAGGTTACCAATAATATCATGAACTATCAGAATATTAGAATTTTTTATTCAGCCTACTTTACCGCAGCTTATGAATTAATAGTGGAGAATACAATGAGCCCCCGAAAATTTCTAAAATCGTAGACAAGTTTTTCTGTCAAACGAGCAAATCTATCGATAGTTCACCTAATTTGACTCAAATGATGTTGAACTTTGAAAACTGTTATTTTTTGCATTAAAATTGGAATTTTAATTACGAGTTCAATAAAAATGCCTCAAAATGGAGCAGAATATTTCCAAAAATAGTAATAAAACATCTGTCAAATCGGATACGCGCTCGTAACAAGTGGGCCACTCTATTCATTTTTTCCTACTCATTTCAAATATCAGAACATATCTACAAACTTTTGCCATACATAGTGTTGTATATGAAATGAAAGAATTTTTCTGTTTTCCCTTAAGACAGACCTAGATTCTGATCTCGATTTTCATTCAGTTTTGATAAGTAATACGAGTGGTATATTTCTACCAAGTATGAAAAGATTATACAAAGTGGTTAAAAAATTATGACCAGATGAAGATTTTGCCACAATCAAGATAACGTCCTGTATCTCAGGTATAAATGGCGGTAGACACATGAATTAGGGGTGATTTGGAACCATCAACGTGTTCTTTATCTGCAGTTATCGTTTGTACATTCAAATCTGAAACACCCTGTATATATAGGCATGCGGTTGAATGCTCAGCATTGGCCTTCTTAAAGATTGAGTGAAAAAAGTTGTTGTCTTTCCTGCGGCAACACCAAAGTCAATGAAACGATGAAGGCCCAATGCCTATATTTGCTCCACTGGCAAAGTGACTACAAGAATGTGAAAGGCCAACAGATTTTTGTCGTTGGTCATTTCCCCAGATAAGAAAGCATTGGGCCAATAACATCCCGGTATATATATATATGGTTCATTGTTTGTTGATAGCCGAGATGTAGAGGGGGGGGACAGATAGCACAATGTCATTCATAGAACGTTCATAGAATATTCTTCGAAAATAGGTATTTGAATATTCTCACAATATATACAGTGTGACCCACTTCTAATGGAACCACCCCTGTATCGTACGTCGTAATCGTTGGGTAAGGATCCTGAAATTTGCTGGAGCGAGAGATATACCAAAAATGCACTCTATGACCAAGTGGGGTCATCTTCAGTGATATACACTGCTCGCCAACAGCCATGAAACCA